AAACTTAAAAACTAAACCCTCCCAAAATCAACGGACCAATAAATGGGCAACTGGACAAAACAGAACTGTCTCAAAAGAAGAAATTCAAATGGCCAAAAAACAAATGAAAAAATCCTTACCATCTCTAGCCAATAAGGAAATGCAAATCAAAACCACACTAAGATTCCACCTCACCAGTTAGAATAGTCATCATCAAAAACACCACCAACAACAGGTGTTGGCAAGGATGTGGGGAAAAAGGAACCTTCGTACACTGCTGGTGGGAATGTTAAGCTAGTGCAACCACTCTGGAAAAAAGTATGCGGGCTTCTTAAATATCTAAACATAAATCTGCCATATGATCCACAATCCCAACTCCTGGGCATATACCCAAATTAATGCGATTTAGGTTACTTCATAGGCACCTGCACACCCATGTTTATTCCAACACTATGCACAATACTCAAGTTATGGAAACAAGCAAGATGCCCCACAATAGATGAATGGATTAAGAAAATGTGGTATTAATACACAATGGAATTTTACTCAGCCATGTGTAAGAATGAATCTCATTATTCTCAAGTAAATGGACTGAACTGGAGAACATCATCCCGAGCATGGTTAGCCAGGCTCAGAAGACCAAAAATTGTATATTCTCCCTCATATGTGGACTTTAGATCTAGGCAAATACAGCAATGTTGTTGGACCTGGGTCACATGATAAGGAAAGAGCACATACGTGAGGAATGGGGATAGATAGATAGGAAACCAAAAACATGAAAGTGTTTGATGTCCCCACTGCAGAGGAACTAATACTGAAACCTTAAAGGGACAGAGGTCAATATGGGAAGGGGATCAGGAACTCGTGAAAAGGTCACATAGAGATGAATCAATGTGGGTTGTAACATACTTGTGCATGGAAACAATGCTAGCAATCTCTCTGTATTGCTATCCTCATCTCAATCAGCAAAAACACTTTGTCTTTCTTATTATTGTTATGTCTTCTCTTCAACAAAATTGGAAAAAAGGGCTGGAAGCAAGGGAGGGTTGGGGGAAGAAAAAGGGGAAAGGGGAAAGGGGAAAGGGGGAGAAAGGCCCAAACAATGTATGCACATGCAAATAAATGAGTAAAAATATTTTTAAAAAAAGAAAAAATATCCTACAAACTCCTCATTAAACTCCTTAAATGTTAAATTATTTTACTTGATGTTGTAATGGGAAGCATAAAACTTAACAGAAAAAATCAAATATATTAACATTTTATTGGAAATCTTAGGTTTTTCTTTTAAGTAAGAATGTTTTAATGATTTACTATATCAGAGGTGTGACTGTGATTATATCTTTTCGGCTGAATCTTGTCCCTAGAAAAAGACCTACTATGAGAAGTTATGGACTAGGACTGAGGAAAACTCTGCCAATAAGCAAACTGAACTTTTGGGAAAGTGTTTTATTAATATTCTGAACCTCAATCTAGTGATGTGAGAAAAAGATAAAAGGAATGAATACCAGAAACTCGAAATTTATTAACTGATTCTCACAAGTACATTAACAAGGTTTAAAACAGATTCCTTCACTGGAAGGGGATCAGTGTTTGGTATTGTCTCTACTATAATTCTATAATTCAAACCAGAATATGGAAAGGAATATTGGGTGGAAATACCTCTGGATAAACATTCTTAAAGTTTTTAATACAGATACCTTATTTTAACAGTGCTTATTATATTTGTAAAACATTCCTTTAAAAAGGTTGAAGATAAATGTAAATCCAGGAATTTTCAATATCTAAGCAAAGGAATTTTTTCCAGATTATTCTAGAACATTATTCAATTCAAATAATTTTAAACTGCCTTTTAAAATTTGGGACAGAGTATCACTATGTAGCCCAGATTGGTCTTTAACTTGTAACACTCCTGCCCCAACCTCCAGAGCACCAGGATTAGTTATGTCCTACCACGTCTGGCAATGATTTATTCATTTATCAGGGGCTTTACACACTCTAGGCATGTGCTGTTGCCATTGACCTACATCCTCAACTCCCATATTTTAAAGAGGAGAAAAACTACCACTATAAAACAACAAGAAGAACACTTGTAGACTATCCACAGCATAAAATTCATTTCTGCAAAGTTTTTGAAAAATAAAATGAAGTTTAAAAATACTAAATTAAGAATTGTAAATGTTTTTATAAGTCTTAAAAGAAAAGAAGGTAAGGTCATTATCTCCAAGAAATTAGATGTAATCTGTATCGTCACCATATAGAATTAAAGGAGACCAAATTTCAATTAAATATAAGAAAAGGATTTTAAAGAATTGGAGTTGTTCAGTTTTTGGAATTAGTTGTTGTCCTCATATCTATCTAGTACATTACTGTATTTTTAAAAATTAGGCTTGGGTTATCCTCGATCCAGATGGCATAAGTGTCTAAATATTAGGTAAAGTTGTACCACATGATTAATAAAGTTCAATGAGCTCTTAAGATCTTTTTCTATCCAAATCACATTCTTTTGGTGTACAAACACTTCAAATGAGAATTGTTTAAAATGTGTGTCACTCAACTATTTGTACCAGGATCACCTGTTCTATGTTTTTCACACTCAAACACAACTAAAATTTGTTTATGTTAAACCAGGCAGGTCACCAATGAATTAGCTTCATATGAGTCCCACTAAAACACCATTAAAGAAAGCAGAAGTAAATTTTCAAAGTCAAATTATTTGTATTGCAACCTGGTGCTCCCCACTGCTAGGTACAAGATGACAGTCAAAATGACCAGATCTAAAGATGGGCACTGTGGTGCAAACTTGTATGTAGTCTTAGCACTTGAAGGCCTGAGGCAGGAGGATTTTGAGTTTGAGGCCAGACTAGGCTGAACACTGAGAAACTGTGTCAAGGAAAAAGAAAGCCTGGATATAAATTTTAAACTTCTGTCCCAAAATATATAAATGAACAAATGTCCATTCTTCTAAGACTGACAAATATTTAAATGTTTTTCACAAAAGTCAAAGAAAGCTTCAGTATTAAAGCTGTAGTTCTACAGAAAGCACAGGCTTTTATTACTATTATTATCATCATCATCATCTTGATAAGACTGGGGTTTCAAGTCAAGGATTCACACTTGCAAAGCACATGCTCTACCACCTGACTCATTCTTCCAGGCCAGATTGCTCTGGTTATTTTTGGAGATGGGGAACTTAAGAACTATTTATCTGCCTCGGCTGGCCTTGAACCACGATCCTCCTAATCTCAGCATCCCAAGTAGCTAGGATTACAGGAATAAGTCACGGGTGTCCAGCATCACAGACATTTCTTAATGCTGCACATTTATCAAGAAGAGATTCATGCACAGAGGCAAGAGAATTGTGCCAGCCTGGGCTACACAGTGAGACCCTGTCTCAAATTGTTTTCCCCCACCCGCACAAAAAAAGAAAGAGTCAGAAAAATTTGAAGTGTCTTGTGAGATGATCCAAACAGACTAAATGAAAACATCATGGACAAGTTTAGTAGCCAAATTAAATTTTAAGAGTGTCAAACACTAGTTCCTCATCAACAGTATGCATTTGGAAGGAGCAGTGAGAAATAACCATGATTGAGGGTATGGGTCAGTAAGCACTCTTTTATGTTGTTAGTAGGAATGCATGTTGACAGATTATTTGGCAACATTTTTCAAAATTACATTTCAAATAGACTTGCAATTTTACTTCCAAGAATTCATCTTGCAGAAATATTTTTACATGTTTAATAACAAATAACCACAGCATTTTTGGCAAGTTACAAAAGATCAGAGACAATCTAAACTTCCATTAACCTGCAAGTTAAACTATATTTATACATTATATAGCCATGAGGAATAGTGAGGAAATTCTTTACATAATCACATGTAAAACTTTCCATGATACATTGTTTTAAAAAAAAAAAAGCAGGATGCAGAAAAGTATGAACTGGATGTTCTTACTAGCATTAGATGATAGATAAAGAGAAATGTACATACTTCTTCATTAAGCATGACTTAACTATCTCTGGAAAGAAAAACAAGAAACTAGTAATAATACATGCTTCAATAGAAGTAAAATGGCTATCTGGGGCACTAGGCTTGGAAAGACGCTTTCTACTGAATATACCTTTTTGAGTCTTTGGAATTACCAATCAAGTATTGTGTTCAATAAAGTAAAGCTAATATAAGAAAAACAAATAACCATTTCCTTTTTTATAATACCTTATATGTAGATGGAACTGAAAAAAAATCACTTATAAGCGAAATTCCTAAATAGGTATAAATATATAAACCAAAACAAGAAAAAAAAATCAAGAAATAGCACCACTGAAAAACAAAAAAATTTACACAAATGAAATCTAAAGTTTGTATGTGCATTCACTCCCAAAAATTAATAATAAGCAGAGGAGAGTCAAGTGATAGTCCCAAACTGTTTCACCAAATCCGCATGAAAAATACAGAAATGAGTCCTAAATTGGTGGCCAAGAAGATGATGTCTGGAAAGTCATTTAAATTTAAATCCTGTGTTCTGAAATATCCCCTATAAAGAAAGAAGTAAATTAATAACAACTACTTCATACTCATTTGACTAATTAAAAGTTTCTATGTTATAATCAACTTCAAAAAGAAAGGAATAAGGGTAGGAAAAAGCCAAAATGGGCATTACACATTTTTCTTGTGTCAGGGGGAAGTAAACACTGTATACATTTTTACACTTAGGAAGTTCAAGCAAGTATCTTCTCCTAAAAGGGGGACAGGTTATACACTGTGCAAAGAAATGTGTCAGGTTCAACACAGAATCCATCTAATTGGCTAACTTAAAATATGAACTCTTTGCCTCCTGATAAGATGAAAAGTCATATTATATTAAGTATAACTACAAGTTACAATGAAACAAATAGCTCAATAAAACAATGGGTCTGCTTTGACCTTAAAAGTTTCATGAACACAAAAGCTGATTTTATACTCATAAGTTAAATACAGATAATTTACTTAGTTAAGAGGTCAGGGGGCACTGAAATCCCACTTACCAACAAGTATACTGGTGATATACACTGGCTGTATAAAATGACTCAGCAATGCTCCCTGTATACCAAGCACTTCCCATCTTGTTAACTTGTCACTAGAGGACATACTGTTTATTCTATTAACAATGTCTGCAGGACAGTAAACAGTCAGATAAATTTTGCCTTCAACAGCCACATGGAGACTCAGTTCTTCATTGGCTTCAAATGCAGAAATAGAATGTGGATTAAGACGTCTAGTGAAAGAAAAAAAGTTTCTTCTTTAAACAAAGTTGACCAAGTAAAATGTAAATATACTTAACATTTGCTCTCAAACAGGTTTAACTTGACAGTGTACAGTTAATTCCAGTAATAGAAAAAAATGCAAACATAAAGCAAAGTAGAATGGGACTGATTATTCCACAACATTAATATAAAACATCAGCCACACTTTGAGCTTCAGCATGGCTAGTTTTCATATTATCAACATTATTTGTGTCCCTTAAAATCAAATGCAAATCTAAGTTTTGCCTCTATCCTTGTTCTTGACCTATTTCTTTTCTCTGTATGAAAAAATATTAAAAATACAAAATTCTGAGATGGAAAAATATTCCACCAAAAACTATTAAAATGGAGAGGGGATTAGGAGAGTACCTGAGAAAAAGATATAGTAGATGGAAAGAATTTGATTGAAGAACATTATATGCATGTTGTAATCCCCTTGCATAATTAATTTATGCTAATAAAAAATTTAAAAAAGGTTTTATTCAATATCCACCTCTAATAAAATGTTAAAATAATAAAACATAAAATCATTTTTATTGAAGTTTCTCTCTAGGGAAAATTGCTTTTATTTTTCAAAGATGTTATTAGAAAAATTTTAATAAAAATATTATCCCTGGTTATCTCTAGATGGTCAGACTTGAGGTAAATTTTACTTTCTCCTTTGTGCTTATATGTACCATTCAAATTTTATACTACCTGATACTCTCTACTCATCAAAGCAATGAAGTTTTTACCATTGATTGCAGTTAAGTTTTTCTAAACTCCTATATTTCTATGAATTCTGTATAAATCTATACCCTAAAGTCTATGAAATCTTAAAAGAAAGTGGTGAAGGAGATGAAATTTTAAGTAGTACTCATAGATTAGGTTGAGTGGAGGGGAGAGGGAAAGAACTGAAGGAAGAATGTGGATTCATACGAATTTACATGCTCTGTTTGCAGCAGGGATTCAGAATATATACAATGGCTATTGTCTTTCAAAAATAACTTCCATAATACTTACAACTGTGACTTAATCTGGGCTGATCCTTTAGGCAACTGGTTCATATAAAGGTAAATGTTGATATTCTGTTTCAGAGTAAGTAGATTAGAAGCTGGTTCTGTACAGAATATTGACTTTTCCATCATAGCAGGATTTTTGCTATAGAAGAGTAGAAGCTGCCTATAAAAGTACCTAAAATAAATGTTATAACTTTTCTGAGTAATAAAATTTACAAAAGATGTTTCCTAATGGAAATCATATCGATATGTATCATGAGCCATGTATGTCCTTTTATGTGTCAAAAGTTTTGTTAAGAACTTTTAAAATAATCTAAGCTTCATTTAAGGAAAAAATTAATTCCTCAAGAAGTCCTCAACTAGAGTCCAGTCTGCTTGTAACCTACTTTAAAACACCATTCTTTGACTACTCCACTTCTGTTTCATATTTAAATCTTCAACTATCACATCCTGCAAAAGATTCATTTCTCTACTGATTCCTCCCTTCTTCCTAAGATAGTTTTGCAACCAGCCTCCAAAGGTTAAGAATCAGATTTTTGCCTTAATTTATTTACCCTTCCCCACCCAAATAAACAACTACTATTTCAATATTGGCAGCAGCAGCAGCAGTAGCAATAGTGGTTCCTGCTCCTTAGTGGTATTAAAAACTTAAAAGCACAGAAACAATACTGTGAAGATAACATAAAGAGTTAACTTTAAAGAGGCCAAATGACTCCATCAACTCCCAGGGAAATGGGAGGACTGTAAGTTACAAAACTGTTAAGGACTTCTTCAATAACTTTTAAGATTATAGGATTCTTTCCTTATTGTTAGAGATATATACTTACATTTTTCAGGTCAAATATGTCTAAACTTGTTTGAAAATCCTCCAGCAAAGATAACACTAACAACAAACTTTAAGCAAAAATGGCAGAATGCTGATAAACACTGTTCAAGCTGGATGACAGAATTTATTATCCTACTGTCACTTGTACTTGAAAATTTCCACAATAAAAAGCATGAAAAAAGTAAGTTTAACAGCTTAAAGAACTAAAAGTTAGTGGATATCATGGGAGGTAACACTCCTATTGCCCTTTCATGTCTTTATATCAAGAGGTTCCCAAGAATAACACTCCTGGACACTATCTTCCATCTGGTATTCATTCCTCTTGTGAAGAGCACAATGATTGCAAGAAGACAGGCCTGCTCACATCAACCCTTCTTTCTCTTTAATGTCTGTCAACCTGAAGGTTATCTTATTTATACTGTACTGTATACTAAACTATGTGTCAACCTCATAAATGGAAACCTGTCCATTTCTAGTACTGCCCTTGGCTAAGTATGGCTAATTCAGAGTTAAAATAAGATCAAGCTTACATAGTATGAACTTTTCTAAAAAAATACTTTTCAATAACTTAAGTCAGTAAAACAGATGGTATTTTAAGTTTAAAGAACTGTAGGACTCTTAAATTTTAGTTCACAGGGTTTAATAATGGAAATTACTAAATCCACAACACTAGATAATGTCACAAGTAACTTGAAAATAATCAGATGACTTGGATAAGTACAAGACTTTCCAACTCAGTGGAGAAATTTGCATATAGTTTTTGAAACCTCAAAAAAAAAAAAAAAAGAAAGAAAGAAATGTAACAATTCAAAATGTCCACAAAGAGATTTTCATATCTTTGGCTCAACAATCAATAAAATTCCATTTGTAAACAAAGACATTTCTATTTGGCTACTTTGGTCTGACAGCATTAATATTTAAGGTATTAAATATATTTGTTACCTACCTAAGGAGAGATCTTCTTGCTGTAACAACAGCATGAGTGTCATGCAACACTCTTCCATATGGCTTAATGCACTGGCTATAATTGTATTCACCTGTGCCTATAGCTACAACTTCATGATGTCCAGCTGAAAGGAAAAGGTAAAGAGTAGCAAGTTATTCTAAACTCCCTATTTCCTATGCTCCAATTCTATCTCAACTCCATCATTTTTAATTGGGTAAAATTTACTGACCAAAATAATAGAAAATTCCAATTTCAAATAATAGTCTTAAGAGTATTTTAAGAACCAAAAATTTAAAAGTAGTATCATAATTTCAAAAAAGGAATTATTTCATATTATGATATGACAACAGAATTTACCCTTATCTTCCAAATATGCACCTACTGCTTCCTCATCTAGATTTATACTATCTACTAAGAGACTTTGTTTATGACTATAGAATGGCAAATGAAGTCTCTGTCTATATGGAATGTCTCCAATTTGTCTTAATCCAAACTCTCTATAAACCAAATAATAGATTCTTTCTCTGTTCTACTGAAACTGACTTTTAATGATTTAATTTTTTAATTATCATATTATTGCTGTACTGTGGGTACATTCTGACATTTACAAAAGTTCTTACAATACATCATAATTGAATTCACCTTGTCCATCATTCTCCTCTATCCTCCCCTCCCCCATTCCTGGAATAGTTTCAACAGGTCTCATTTTTTCATTTTCATACATGAGTATATTATATCACCACCACATTCACCCTCCTGATACAAAAACAGCCATGAAGACCAGTGGAACAGCAGAGAAGCCTCAGATATGAATCTGTAGCTATACCCACCTGATTTTTGACAAAGGCGCCAAAAACGTATGATGGAGAAAAGACAACCTTTTCAACAAATGTTATTAGGAAAACTGGGTATCTGCATGCAAAAACTGAAATGAGATCCATGTCTTTTTCCCTGTACAAGTATCAACTCAAACTGGATTAAGGACCCTGAAACTGAAGCTAGTGCAGGAAAGAGCAGGAATACATTGGAAGCAATAGACATAGGAAAGGACTTCCTCAGTAGATCTCAAATGGCTTAGCAACTAAAAGAAAGGATTGACAATGGACTACATGAAATTAAAAAGCTTCTACACAACAAAAGAAATGGCGATCAGATTGAAGCAGCAGCCCACAGAATGGGAGAAAATCTTTTTATATACCACAAGGGACTAATAACCAGAATATACAGGGAGCACACACACAAAGAAACTCCCCAAAAATCAATAACCAAATAAAGAAATGGGCAAATTAACTGGACAGAGCTTTTGCAAAGGAAGAAGTCCAAATGGGCAAAAATATCTGAAGAAATGCTCAACATCCCTGGCCTTATGGCCAGGAAATTCAAATCAAAATCATGTTAAGATTCTACCTCACTCCTGTTAGAATGGCTATCATCAAGAACACAAACAACAACAAATGTTGGTGAAGATGTGGGGAAAAAGGAACCCTCATACACTGTGGGTGAGAATGTAAATTAGTACAACCACTATGGAAAACAGTATGAAGGTTCCTCAAAAAAACTAAAAATAGAACTGGCATATGATTCAGCAATACCACTTCTAAGGATATACTCCAAGGAATGTGTAAGTCAGGATACAATAAAAACACCTGCACACCCATGTTTACTGCAGCATTATTCACAATATTTAAGCTATGGAAACAGCCAAGAAGCCCTACAACTGATGAACAGATTAAGAAAATGTGGTATTTATATACAATGGAATTTTATTTAGCCATAAAGACAAATGAAATTTGTCCTTTGCAGGTAAATGGATGGAAATAGAGAACATCATCTTAAGTGAAGTTATGAAGGTTCAGAAGGTCAAGAGCTGCATGTTGTCTCTCATATGTGGAATACAGACCTAACACAAATGCAAGCAGTATTATGGAAAAAAGGTCACACTAAGGTAAGGTCACTAATCGGAGAGGGAGGGTAAAAGAAAAAAGTTGAATATGGTTAAAGCACTTTCTATGAAAAAATGAATATACCGAACTTTTAAACCTATTGAAATCACCTTAAGGAGGAGATATTAAGGTAGACAGGAGATTTGGTGACAAACCAATTCAGGTCATAATACATATATACATGGAAATGTCACAATGAAACACCCTATATAACTATCTTATACAAACTGATACAAGAAAATTTATGTTTTTAAAGAAACACCAACTTTATGTATTTTCCAGAAGCTTTGCTCTACTCATGTTTCTTGTGCCCACACTTGAAATTTCTTGAAAATCCATGCTTTGAAAAAACACAACTCAAACTGGCACTCTTTTCCCCTCTTACTTCCTAAGTATGGGCTTTTCAATAGCCTGCTTTTCTCCTCATTAACATTCTCCTCTAAATATTCCTTATTGTTTTGCTTATGTGTTGATGTGTTCAGAAAATCTCTAGTCTCAGTTTTTCAAACAAAGTTCAATTTACATTGGCAATTACATGAAGGATTTGTACTAATTTAACAAAATTTTTGAGGTCCTACCATGTACCAGGCACTGAACAGATGCTAGGGTTAAAATGGTGAGCAATACATGCTCTTATGAAGCTTCTAATAGGTAAGACAGGAAAAAAAAAAACCAAACAAAACCCACACTGTAAAAAATGTTTTGAAAGAAATAAATATGGAGCTGACTGACAAATGGTAAGAGAAAAGGTTATTTTATGCAGAACAGGTATAGAATCCTAATTAGCTGAAATTTAAGCTGCAGCATGAAGAGTGAGGGAAAGAACATTTTCGTTAAAAGAACAGCACAAGCATACAACCCTGAGCAAATACAGAAGACTGGTACAGGTGCTCCAAGATGTGGATGAAGGGAATGGTGTTCAATGAAGCTAGAGAAAGATGTACTGTGTACCCTGCTAAAGAGTTTGCTGACTTTAACCATGAGCTATGGGGAGGATAATGAAGGTAAGGGAGCAAAAACTATCTGGAGTTACATTTCAAAATCATTCCTTTCTTCACAGCAAAACAATCAAAAAAATGAAAAGGAAACTCACAGAATGAGAGAAAATGTCTATAAACCATATTATACAATAAAGAAATAATATCCTACAACTCAATAGTTTTAAAGCATGGGCAAAGACCTGAATAGACATTTTCAAGGACATTATAAATAAGTGCATTTTTGAAAAGGTGTTCAACATCACTAATCATCAGAAAATTATAAATTCAAAACGATTGCAATGCTGACTCACACTCCTCACATATTGTGACTAGGACACCGCTCTCATTGTCAAAACCAAATGGTCAAAGTCTTGGCGCAAGGATATGGATAAAGAACCTATACATGTTGGGAAAGGTAAATTGGTACAGTCATTAC